GAACAAAGTTTTATTTAGGTAAGTCTAATAAAAAAATACCACAAAGTAAAACACATTAAAAACTTTATTATAAGTATTACACTTGTCCAAATTTGCATCAATTTGATACATTTCTGCTCCTTTTGCAGAACATGAGAGTCACATAATTGCCTTTGATCTCAACAGTCCCCCTGCTGTAGATCCCTTCCCGCTCACCACGGCCCACCTCTGCCTCGCTCCTTCCTGTGGCTCCTTCCTGTGCCTCACGCTACCGTCCCCAGCACCCCGAGCGCTGGCCCCGCACCACTCCAGGGCTGGGCCGGCGCTGGGCGCGCCGCTGAGCATGTGGGCTGGGTCCTGCACCGCTCCAGGGGACCCCCTGCTCTGTCCTGTTTTCACCCCCAGCCTGAGAGGCTAACCGTACATATTCTGAGTAAAAGGAACCCCAGTTAAGTTTCATAGAGTATTCCAGAATCTTGCATCCGTACTTGACTATCATTACTTTCTCTAATGGAAGTGAGGAGGAGTCAGAATTCTGATTCCCTGGACTGAAATGGGCTGGAACCGTGTCCGGTAGGATTTGCTTCTCCGTTTCTCCCTCCTCACTCAGGCCTGGCCAAGACTGAGTGCAGCAGATCCATACTGCCCATCGCCCATAGGAAGGGTGACACCGAGCAGCCACTGGGGTTTGAAAGCAAATTTGGGTAAAAAAAAAAACAGTGATGAGAAAAGTCCATAAGGAGTATTTTGCCACCCTCTTCCTGAATAACATTCCTCTTTCCCCTGTCATGGCATTTATGATCAGATATAATGTAGGCTGACATATTACAGTGAAAAGAATATTACAATAGCAGTAATTTCCCATCGGGGGTGCTATTCAATTGCTTACAGAAATCTGCAGTTTGAGTGCATTTTAAACATATCAGGAATGAGTGATGATTCTCCAAACTCAGGAAAATGCCCCATAAAAAAATAAAGATAGAAAATACATGCTGATTTAATGGCAAACTTATTTTCGAGACTTTTTTTTTTTTTTTAACTGGTAATGGCCTTGGTATTAAGGGAGGAGCAGCAGGGACCAGTTTGCCCATGAGAGCATGGGAGAACGTCCGCCCGGGAGAGCACGGGGGCCCGGGCTGCATGGGCAGCGGGGCTGCGCCCGCTGTGGGTGAACAACCGCTCGGCCAGTCCCTGTGCAGCCGCCCCAGGACTCTCAGTGCTGCAGCAGGAAGTTGGTAGCCACATTCAGGTCATTGTTTGAAGCTCTCAGGGCTTCCAAAGCATCACCCCTGGAAAATCCCATCTCCATGAGCCGGGCAACCTGAAAACAGAAACAACCAGAAATCCGGTGAGGCTGGCGACTCGACTACTAACCCACCAGCCCCCAAAATGTTCCTTGTGAGAGTTTTGTAGGAAAGGTTAAAAAAAAAAAAAAAAAGACCCTAATTTTCATTTTAGTGTGAAATGTTATTTTTAAAAAAATTTGAACGGGCACGACATTTTAAAGACATTTAACATATAGCTAATAGGTCCAATTATCTCCCTTAATCCTCATTTTAGAGACAAGGAACAAGCACCCAAGGGTCGAGCGACCTGCCAGAACGAGCAGAGGGTGGACGAGCCCATGGGGTGCCGCCTGGAAAGCCCATCTGTATAAGCCGCCCTGCGCTCACATGACTTTGCACACTCCTTCAGTATCGAATCGGATTCCTGCAAACAACTTCTCAAGGCACGCTTCCTTGCGCATGTGAACAATCACTTAACTGAAGACTATTTCTGATGCTGGCAGGCACCAGTGACAAAAACGTGTGCAGGTTCCTGGAATCACCCAGCCAGAGGAGGTCCTCTGGATGCCCATACCCCGTTCAGCTTCCCCGTGAGTTGCAGCATCTGCTAAGTTCCTGGCCTGGGAAGCAGCAGAGAACACACGCACAAAGTGGGCTGAGGCCTGGCCAAGCGTAGGGAGGATGAGGCTTGCATTTTCTTGACCACAAATCCCGAATCTGTGAATACAGAGGTTTCCTGTCCTTTCACATACAATTTCCAACGAAGTGGGCAGTGCCACTAAAGTTTATTGGTAACCTATTTTCCCATTTAAAAATGTATTATAAAAATATTTATGGCCCCAGACTAGCCAAAGGAATCTATTCTTTGTACTAAGGTTGAAATATACATTTGCAATAATATATAATGAAAAATGACACAAACTGTTGAGATTTTCACCACATGTGGATCAAAGAGGCTTTTGTGGATTGAGGACTTTGTCACCATTTCTAATCTCTCCTGCAGAAAACAATGCACTCGGTGCAAAAATGGAAAGAAAGGGCCTGATACTGCCCTCCTTCCCCGGCTAGGGGAGTCAGGGTGTGTGTGGGCAGAGCAGGCGCGGGGGCGGGGGGGGGGGGCAGGGCGTCGAGGGGCCAAAGTGAGGAGGGGAGGGAGGAAGGAGGTGCAGAGCCAGGCAGGCGGCAGGGGAGGAGGCTGCCCACACGGCCAGAGCCCTCACCCAGAGCCCTCACTCCTCGAGGAGCCTTAGGGAGAGAGGCTGATCCTGTGGAGAGGAAGCCGACAGGCAGGGGCCACTTCTCAGAAGCTGGGTTCTAGCTGCTGTCTTTCAAACTGAGGCTGTGATCCCTCATTAGTGCATCATGAACGCTTGATGGGTTAGGATTAGTATGAAAAAAATGCCTGTAGTGAGGGTCTTTCTTCCATAAAGCGTCATTTCAGTTCTCCATATTCACACATATGGATGCCGTGCGCCCTGCTTACTGTGGGCTGTGGTCAGAGACATCTGACTCCTCTTTTCTAAGGGAACCGTCAGGGCCTGGGGAGAGCGCCGTCCGCGAGCAAGCAAGCGAGCAAGACGCATGGCCCTCACACGTGGGAGACGTGAGGTGCCGCCGGCGACAGCCGACTCCAGGCCCTGGGCTGATGGACAGTGTGGACAGAATGGCAGGAATCTTCTGCTTTCATTTCCTACTCAAGGAAAGAACCACCTTCCCCAGAATATCACAAACACTCCCCACTTACTGGCCAAGATGGAAAGTTCTTCCTCAATCAAAGAAGAATCCGCCTCTCACCAGTTGCCATCCATGGGACTTCAAAGGTCCTAATTTTGCCCTTTGAAATAACAGAAAACAACCCTATTCCCTTTTCTGCATGAAGCACTTCGAGTGTCTGAAGGCTGCCCCCCGCTTGATTTCTCTAGGCCGGCACCCCGACTCCTGGTCTGGCCCAGGCCCTGCGGAGCCCTCCCTGCCATCACTGCTGGTGCTTCCTCCTTTGGCCTGGTTAGCTCCTCTCCATCGGCTGGCTCTGGGGGCACCCGGCCCTCTCCCATTCTCCCAGACTGGAAGGAACCCCAGAGAAGTTCTGTGGCTCCAGCAACCTCTGTCTTGTGCTCACCATGGTTGTGACTTTTCCCTGTAATTGTAGGGAGGACTGCTCCCCACCACTGTGCTGTGAGCTTTCTGAGGACAAGGGCCGGGGTTGCTTTCCTCATTCCTGCACCTCCGGACCTGACACCTTCCAGCGCAGCACTCCTGTCAGTGCGTGCCCGCGGCCGCCGGCCTGGCGTCCAGCCCTCAGTGCAGCAGGGCAGTGCGTCTGCGGGGTGCACGCGCGTGTGCCCGTGAGTGCAACCACGTCATACTGGTGTGGACTGCTAGAAACACTCAGGTATTTCCACCTGAAACCAGGCTTCTCAAATCCTACTCTGGAAGGTTGTATTTGCTCTTCTGGGGTTAGGAACACACACATCTCTGTTAAATGGCCTCTGGTCATTTCTCAGACAACCAAAACTAATTTCAGTTTAAATTCTATTGTCTCCTAGGTTACTCAGCTCCCTCAAAACTGTATCATCCCCAAATGTGATTAGCAAACCTCTACAAGGTCACTCGAGTTATTATTGATGAAAATGTCAAGCAGGCAAAATCAGAGATAGGGCCCAGAACTCACTTGAGACCTCCCTTGCTTCTTGAGTGGCTAGCCAACAGTTTTTTCAGAGATTTTTAACCAGTTTAAAACCTACTTCATATTGTTTCTATCCATTCCACATGTCATCGATGTATCCCTTAAAGTGACAAGATGTAGTCAGATGTCTTGATGACATCCTGTGTTAGCAGGAGCAGGCTGCTGCCTACAGACCACAACACTCTTAACACTCAAGTCATCTGTCTGATCATCTATTTTAGGCTCTGCCAGACATGAAACATCATTTTTGCCATTTGATTACCAGAATCCACACTTCCCTCTTTCCTTGGGGGGACTTCAAACTGAGTACGACGCCTTGCTTTCTCCACCCCCGGCCAGCACGCTTGGGGAGACAGGCTCTGGGACTTGGGCGGGACACAGGTCCAATGCAGGCAATCCTTCCTACGTTGTTCCCTGGGTTGAAATAATCTTTAATGATGTTTATTCCAGTGACTTCCAGTTAAGAACCACTCTCTTTAGTGGAGTTACCGTGGCCGGTGAGGAGGCAGGCCGCTCCACCGCCTTCTCTCTGTTATCCATGAACACAACACCACCGCCCAGCACGGTGGCCGTTCTTTACGACTTCAAACAGCGTGCCAAACGTGGCATTCACGGTCACCACTCTGTCACCTCTAGGACTTCAAGCAGAGCTAACAAGTACCTGCTTCTGTGTACCTGGCCAGTGGGAATAAATCTGTCTGACAAATCAGGATTCACAGTCTGGAGCTGACGGCATGTGAGCCGTGAGGGAGCTGGGAGCAGGTGAGGGTGCTGGGCCACGACCCCAAGCCGGTCCTTGAGTCTCCCATGCATGGACTCTGAATGTGGTTTGGAGTCCAGAAGGTGCTGAGGACGGGCTGGCCACACGGGTCACCAAGGCAGCGTGGCAGCACTGGCCACACTGTGGGCAGGCCCAGCGCTTGCCCGCCCCAGAGGGCACCCTCCGGTCTGCGGCAGCCCGGCTTGCGTCCTCGGTACAGAAGCGGGGCTGGCGCGAAGAGAACAGATTTCTCGGCCTGGGAGGCGTCCTCCCGAGTTTGGTTTTGACAGCCGGGCCAGGTTTCTCTGGGCGTCGGCTGCAGGCAGAAACTGGTGGCGGCTGGCCATGCATCCTCTGACGCCCAAACTGGCTTCAGAACTTTCTGTGTTTTTTAGGGGTGAGAAGACAAGTGTGACTGGACAATTTTCCCAGCTGAATGACCTTGTACTTTAACCAGATGAAGCAACTTACAAAGTAGAAATCATGCTAACAGTTCTTTTTTTAAAAACTGAACAATTACACTAAGAAGGTGTATCTGTCAGTTTCTCCTAGCGTCCCAGACAGTGAACGCCCCAGGGACAACGGAGTTGCATGCTTGGGCTGAGGAATGTGGACAGTAACCAGACAGACACGACAAGACCCAGAAGAACAGGGAGCGAAGAGGGCAGGCTCGCCGTGTTGCCACAGTGGGGATGAGAGAGCCCAGCCTGCTCCCTGGGCCCTGACAGGAGCTCAGTAAACACTGCCCCCGCCCACCACCCCGTGATAATTCTCACCCCACCCAAGAGGGACTGGCCCAGGTGCGCGGGTCCCTCCCTCTGACCCTCTTGGCCTCAGTTCAGAGGTACCCACAACCTGACAAAACCACCCTTGGGGTTTTGTTTTCAGCATTCACTTTAACTGCTTTCACTTTACTCCTTTTATATCCTTTGTTGGTCAAAGAACTGATGGGTCTTTTGCAACAATCAAATGGCTTGTTTGCAGGGGGCCCCAGTGAGCAGGGGGCAGCTAGAAGGAGAGTCTCAGGGCGGGAGGGTCAGCCAGGGACCCAGTGAAACGCTGGTGAAACACCGGCTCGTGGCGAAGTTCACCCACATGTACCCCTCCCGCCATAGCCGAATATGGCCACGCTTAAACATAAACACAAGGATGATTTTTGTTACAGATTTCTAGTGATTAAACAGCCCACAGGAGAACTGGCCTAGAAAACTAATGGGGTGAGGCCCAAGTAAAAAAGACTGGAAAAATCTTTTTAAAAGGTAAGCATAAAATTCTAACAAAAACCCACATGATCTGTGACTTTTAGAAAACCTTACTTTATATTTGTACACATTCTAGCAAATGTTCGATTCTGATGATTATATAAATCATGGTATTTACAGATACTCTACCTCCTTCCCCATCCACAGCATATATATTAGCCACAAAACACATTAAATCACACTGAAAACCCAATCTGTTTCCTTTACAGGCTGCTTCCTGTCTTTTTAGTCTAGCTATTAGAACATCCAAAGGAAGAGAAAATGTCAATGTAACATTTCTAGGTCTTGACTAGATAAAAATCCGAAAATACACCCTGATCAGTTTAAATCAAGTTGTGCCCGCACAGGAGTGTCATTAATTCAACGACCATTCCCAGACTCTCTGCGGCTCCGAGGGTCTGTGCGAAGTGCCCGTGGTGAGCTGGGCTTGGTGACACCGGGGCCAGGACCACGCCTGCCGTGTGTCCCCAGTACAGAAACAAAGAGCCTGGCACACGGAGGTGCCCAGTGGTGGTTAGAGAAGGGGTCAGTTTAGCGACATGAGTTCTTTAAGGAACTGACCACTGGGCCAGGCTGGACTAAACAGCCTGGGGCCGAAATGATAAAGCTGGTAAAGCACTGCGGCCATGGCAGGAGAGCCTGCGACCACAGACACAAGCAGGTGCGCACCTGGCGTCTCGGTCAGTCTGGGCCCGGCTAGGTTCACAGGAGTCTGTTCGGGAAACTTAAAAAATGCCCCGTAGAATATTCTGGAAAGCATTCCTTTCAACATTCCTTCTCCATTTCAGAGCGCAGTAAGTACCCTCCTTCTGCTTGTGCATGGCCGGGAAGCTTCTATCTAAAACTTCTCACCACAGAACATCAGAAGAGTTCACCTGGGTTTCTCGTCTAAACACCTAAATAATCCTTTTCTCTAATTTCTTTTTTTTAAAAATTTTTTAAATTTATTTATGAGAGAGAGAGAGAGAATGAGAGCTAGAGAGCACGAGAGGGAAGAGGGTCAGAGGGAGAAGCAGACTCCCCGCCGAGCAGGGAGCCCAATGCGGGGCTCGATCCCGGGACTCCAGGATCATGACCTGAGCCGAAGGCAGTCGCCTAACCAACTGAGCCACCCAGGCGCCCCTCTCTAATTTCTGTAAAAACAAAACAAAAAAACAGGTGTAGTTGGGTTAACATCCAGAGAGTATGTTATGCTTTCCTGTCTCCCACATCGCTCAGTCATAAAACCTAACCGTACCCGAATGGAACACCACCGATGCCTGTTCTCTGTGGTGGAAGGCCTGGCTTTCTAGAGGCCAGGTTCAGAGGTAATGTGATGTAGAGGACAGCAAGGAGTTGGCACTGGAACTCCAGCCTTGCCGCGCGGAAGGGCCCCCCGGCGGCGCCGGACTCTGCTGGTGGCTCCCGGTCAAGGCCCGAGGCCCCCACTGGGCCAGTGGGGTGCGGGAACTTGACCAGGTGCAGGCAGCACAGGAGAGCCCTTGCCAGGCAAACGAGGCCGAATGTGTTTTTCCCATAACACGCTTTCTAAAAGAGACCCTGCTGAACAAGAAACCTATAGAGATGGAGATAAATCCATATTGGTTTTCCTCTCCTTTTAAAAAAAAAATCCTCCATGATTGGGACATGTGTGCCTACTAGCTCAAGATCACTCTTACTCAAGGGAATAAATGAAACCCTACCTTGGCCTTCTACCTGCAATTCAACTACTTTTTGGCACTAGTGAAATAGGACATTCATTCCAATGAGATGCGTGGCAATTCTTCCCAGGGAGATACTCCTCTGCTGTTTTGTTCAAGTAGGACTGTGGTTTTCTTTAACTTCCCTTTAACTAAGGATGTCAAAAACAAATAGTTTTGGGGGTTTTTACTTCCCAAATTCTGACACTTGCAGGAAGTGATGCCTACCTGAAAGATGCCTGACCCAACCCCATGCTGGTTTGCCCATTTGTGGCGGGCCACTGCCGAGGCCACGTGCACAGCCTGCTGGGCGGAGCACCCCTGGAGAAGTCATGGGAGATGTGGCTCGCCCTTCCCTCCCTGTCCCTGTAACGATCACATAACCTCCGGGCAACCCCGCCGCAAGGGCACAGTCAGATCACCTGGGGATCAGTGCACCTCTCTTCCACCGTCACCTGACCACTCCCCTCCTCCTCAGAAGTGCTGACCCCCTCTGATCACAGCTCTTGGCTGAGTGAACGGTTACTGGTTACGGTATGCTCTTGCCAGCTACAGACCTGCTCAGAGTCCCCTTATTTTTGCGTTTCTGCTTGGTTCTGACTTTGGTACTGAGGAGGCCCTCATGACAGACTGGATGAGCTCCACGGCTTGTATCTTTTAGAATACCCAACAGAATGAGGCTCCCCAAAAGCTGGTTAATTATTCGATTGCCACGCAATATTTCATTCCAACACATTTAGCTTTGGTATTCTCTTAGAAAACCTATTTCTAATCTAGGCGTTCAGATGGAAAGTCCCACGTACTACCACTCTCTAACGCATTTGTAAGTGGAAACAAGTGTTTTTTGATCACACCTTCCCATTCAGCCCTGCTCTAACCACTGCTGGGCACCCTCTGTGTGTCAGGCTCCGTGTCACGGGGGAAACAGGAAGAGATGGTACTAGCCCTCACGGAGCTCACCATCCACCAGGGAAAACAGACAAAACTCGAGTCACTGCTGGACCAATTCCCAACTCACTGCAATTAGAAATACGCACAGCAGAAGTACAAAGTACCCCCAATACATAACATGTTAGTGAGGGGACTGTTTATATCAGGTTGAGCATTTGGAGTTGGGGTGGGTTTTTACGGTGACAGGGATGAAGGTTCCTGAGATGGGAAGACAGAAGAGAACCTCACTAAGATTAAGATTCTCTCACACTAAATGCACTTCGCTATTTACCAGCTAAGACTTAAGTGTCTTCTGTGCTGAAAGCCATTCTCTCTCTACTTGGGTCAATGAATATTTCAGAGGACAGGAATGGAATCCACATGACAGGTCTCATGTATAATAAACGTACTACGTGGCTATAGAGCAGCGGGGCTGGAGTCTCATAAGCAATTGCAAGCACATTTCCTGGGCAGGCATGGAAGAAGTTGCATACGTCATTACGGTTATAACATGCTCCTTCCTCCATGTGTGGTCCACCCTCCAGGGAACCCCAATGACATAACCCCCCACTTAGGATCCTGCCACGGTGCCTTAATGCCTATAACACAGAAGTGGAAGTTCACGCAGCACTGCGGGGCGCTGGGGAGCCTGCCCAGCCCCTCAGGTCATCCTCCGCTCCAACCTCACCCACCTGTGCTTCCCCACATGTAAGGCACTTTTCACCACATGCTGACACATGCCACTGCCCCCACCCTCGGCGCTGGCAGTCCTTTCTTAGTTTCGATGGCCCCGGGACACTTGTGCAGAGTTGGCTGGGGCTATCTCCGGGCCTGGCTCCCCACCCCGGACTCTGCACCATGTGAGGGCAGGAAATGATGCCTTATTTATCTCTGTATTTCAGAAACCTAGCCCAGTGGCCAACCTGATGCAGAGCAGACGGGTGGTAATTCTTGGCTGATGAGGAGGAAAAGAGGCATGACTGGAAGGGGGAACATTGAGATCGGTAACAGTTTACCTTCCCTCTGTTGAGCCTTAGCTCTGGTTTAGTCCCATTTAACTTCCCGGTCCGATTTTACCCATGTATCCCATTAAGAAAAAAAATGAAGAGTCGTTTCCCTAAGATTGGGAGGGTCTGAGAAAGACAAACTTAGTGAGTTTTTTCCTCCTTTGATTTAAAAAAAATAGGATGCTTATAGGACAAAATTTCATTGTTACCTTGAGTATAGGTGTAATACGAGAATTACTGGTTAAAAAGAAAAAGAGAAAGAGAAATGGAATGTATATACTTATTTTTAAGATAGTAGACATCTGAGCACATTTTATTATTAAAAAGAGTTTTGACAGAGTGGCACTTGGTTTCGACAGATTCTTAAAAGGGGCTGGGATGGCATCTTCAAAGGACAATGAATTGGCAAAGGTGTTGTGAGTCCACTTGTTGAAAAACAGTAAAAGTAGGTTGGGAAGAACCAAAAATCCAGAAACTTAACAACAGCAAAAGCAGAAAAAGTGGCAAAATTTTTCTATGGCTGTATGCCTATTACTAGATTTAATAAGAGATGCACATTCTTTCTTGTAATATTCCTTGCTTTCCTATCTAAAAGGACTCACTAAAATTCCTGAAGTATTTTTTTACATCAGAAAAACCTCAATCATTTTTATTGTTCTTGGTTTAAAAAATTATTGTTTCTTAATGCAATAAATAGCATGACTCTGATATTTAAATAAAGAAGATACAGCACATTTAATTGAAGAATTAAGCATAAAGAGGTCTTGTTCATTTAAGCTATTTGATTACTAACAAGTATTATTTTAGATAGTGTCTAGCCTCAACAAGCTAACCAAGAGATTATATATATTAACTATGTATTTCATTTTTTTTAGAAAGATTTTATTTATTTATTTGACAGAGAGAGACACAGAGAGAGACGGAACACAAGCAGGGGGAGTGGGAGAGGGAGAAGCAGGCTTCCCGCGGAGCAGGGAGCCCGATGTGGGGCTCGATCCCAGGACCCTGGGATCATGACCTGAGCCGAAGGCAGACGCTTAACGACTGAGCCACCCAGGCGCCCCTAAATATATATTTCTAAACATTACTGTAAACATCCTGCAGGCAAGAACATTTTTTTTTTTTTTGTCTTTTACAGTTTGGCTAACACCTATCTGCCAAGGTGTCTGCCAAGAGTCTACATAACAAACAGTGGGAAGAATCTGTGTTTTAATGAAATGGTAGCCTGTAATGGCCATGTTCACGATAATCAAGAAACACAAGAAACAACCACTGAAAATCAGTGAATAAGGAAGCATATGTTAAAAACAGCCTCTGATGTATTTACATCTCTTCATACCAGAGCAAGGAAGTAAATGTTGTTGAAACGGATCTGACAACGTGTTAACCTGTTGTCATTCTGGGAGGATCAAGGAAAATGATTCATTAGAACACCCTGAAGACTTCAATTACACACATTCTCCTCATTGCCGTGTTTTGACACTTTTGTTTCAAAGTGCCAACACTGAGAACTGTCTCACCTTTAAATACCTCATATCCTCAATGGCTGCTCTGTAAGGAATGTGACTTATGGTTCTAGCAAGTAAACGGTAACAGAAGAGAACTCTCCTTCTTTTTACCTGAATTGGAGAGTATTAGCTTATTTTTTAATGTTACCATAAACATCTTACAAAAGGTTGAGTTATTGGGCTTTATTTTCCTATCTGTGGGAATACCATTTTCCTAGAAATTCTCTAATGGAGGTGGAGGAGAACTAACTCCTTCCTCCACCTCTCAGTCCTGAGGAGCTACTAAAATGATCAGTCTAAGTGAGAAGTCATGAGGGGAAAAGCTGGATCAATTCATCAGGCACATTCAACTGGCTTCTTTCCAAGGCATTTATGGTGGCCTAATCCAGGGTGGCAGTGGGAGCCCCGCCCAGACCGGGTGCCCTGGGTCCGAGGGACCTTTGTGTACTCTGGGGACAGGGCTGGACAGTATGACCAGGTATGAAATGCTGCCCTTGATTTGCTTGATGAGAAGAAAGCAACAAACGCAGAAGGAAATTTAAAAGTGTTGTTATTGCAATGCTCTGAACTTCACAGATATTTTTAACCTTCTAGTTTGAAATAATTTCAGATGAGATCGGGCGCGTTCAGGGTGGTATGGCCGTAGACTGAAATAATTTCAAACTTACAGAGAAGTTTCAAGAACAGTACCAAGAACCCAATTACTCTTCATCCAGATCACCATTACTTTGCCACAGCTACTTTCTGTTTATCCACACTCTCTTATTCTTTCCTCCAACAGGTGAGATGAACTTGCCTACGCCATGTCCCTTTACTCCTTAGTACTTGAGTATGCGTACTTTGTAACAAGAATATTCTCTTTCCTAGCCGCAGTCCACAGAGATACCACGTCCTTGACACTTAACGTTAATACAAAACTATGATCTAACCCACAGTCCAATTGCACCAACTGACTCTCACATGTCTGTTCACTAAAAATGTTTTCCGGTACAGAGCACAGTCTAGGATCGTTAATGTGCCTCCTTAATCTCTAATCTGGAACAGCTTGTGACCGCAGTATTGTTGAAGAATATGGGTCAGGTATTTTATATAATGTCCCTCGAATTGGGTTTATCTGCTTTTTCTTTACGATCAAAGTTATGGATTTTTTATTGTAATACATAACTGATGTGTCCTTTCAGGGCATGCCCACAATGCCTTATTGGTTCATTATTGGTATAATGATTCTGATAACTTGGTTAAGCTGGTGTCCAGTTTCTCCATTGTACAGTTAACTATTTTCCTTTGGTAATTAATAAGCAGCTTGTGGGCAGATACACTTTGAGATTATATAAATAGCCCGTTCTTCTTCATGTATTGATGATTTGTACCTAAACTGATTTGTCTCTGATAGTTGCAAAATTAGGATTTTTCTAATACCATCAATCATTCCTTATTACTTTACATTCCTTTTCCTTTGTGGACACACACACACACACACACACACACACACACACACACAATCTCCTAATATCAGTATGAACTCATGGATTACCCCCCTGTGCACTGGATTATATTAAGTACTGTCCTTATTTATTTATTTTTAAAGGATTTATTTAGTTTTTAGAGAGAGAGAAAGACAGTGCATGTGTGTGTGGGGAGGGGCAGAGGGAGAGGGAGAGATAGTCTTATGCAGACTCTGTGCTGAGCGCAAAGCCTGACGCGGGGCTCGATCTCACAACCCTAGATCATGACCTAAGCCGAAACCAAAAGTTGCTTAACCAACTGCACCAGCTAGGCGCCCCTGTCCTTATTTGATACCCAAATCTTATGTCCCCAATTTGGTCGTGTGGCCCCCTCAAGCTGGCTCTGGTGTCCTTGGGGCCTGCTCCCTTAGTTATGAAGCATTTCCTTAAATTCCTTGCGTGGTGGTCCAGGGTCATCTTGTTCCTTCACAACCCTGGGCCTGTGACCCACCATTTCATTTCTCTAAAGAGGCTCATTTCTGTCAGTGGGCCAACATATTTAGAAACTAGATCTGGGCACCAGGCGTGGTCAGTGCTACTGGGATGCCATCGCTTCTGATCGCTTTAGGTTGACAGAGCTAAGACACATGTATGTACGTACACACACACACACACACACACACATACACACACACTTATTAAATCATGAGTTTATGCTGATACCTCTACTTCCAATCTAATCCCACAGGGTTCTTCCTTGCTCTCCCCTGTTCTGAATTTGTATTTTCCTTCTTCTACAGTAAGATCAACCTATTTCCTCATTTGCTCAAATCTACAATACACACAACATAATTTCAGAATTGCTGCGCTCATACTACTATGAACATAAACCTAGGAAGACCTTAAGATTTCTCTGCAATTCTTTTTCTTTAGACTGAGGGTATATAATGTTCAAAAGTTACTAAAATTAGTTTTTCCCTTCCTCCTATGATTATGTTATTCATTTAAAATACAGTTGGATCACTTGTTTCTTTCTAGTTTATGGTTGTCCCTATTGTTGATTTGCTTCCTGAGTATGTAAAACATTAACCTGATTCCTAAGTCAAAACCATACCAAAGTTATACCTAGAGAAGCACCACTCCCTCCCTGCCTTGTCTTGTTCTCTCCTAGCTCTCATAGAGAACAAACGCCAGTAGCTTCCTGTATATATAAAGTATTATATATTTCAAAATAAGTGATCACAATGTTTTTTTTCCCCCAAATCATGCCTTCCTCAAACTTTAAGACCCACAGTAGCCGATAAAAGTCCAAGTGTCTGTCACTGTTACCAGCAGCAGCTTGACTGTCATCAAAAGCTTCGTATTTATACACTTGATTTCTTTCTTGTTCAGCAAAACTGCTTCGAGTGTGAAGCACAGGTTTAGGAGAAGTACCAGTGTTACTGATTACCTGCTCCTCAGAAACCTCAAGAGGAGGAGATGCTTGTTGTTCTGACCGCCGACCATCCTGATAGTTTATATTCCGTCGCTGACGTAAAGGAGGGAAAAGACGATTCCAATTGATCATTCCTCCCTAGAAATAGACCAACACACAGTGATAAGACACAGAAGGAGAACCATCCTAATGCCTGGAAGGGCTTTCTCGTGCAATGAAATCACATCCATAGATGGGGAAAACGTCATACTGAGCTGCTGAATGCAAGCAATCCAAACCCTAAAGTATCACATCGCCCTTCAACCAACAGGACGAAATCAACAGCCTGCAGGAGGAGCCCAGAGAGAAAGGAGGCAACAGTACTGCCGGAGTTGTTTGTGCAACTTGGCTCTGGAAGGCAACGGAGGATGAACTCAAACGTTCTGAACCTCAGCCCCACTGGCCCCATCCCACCTCCTCTGGCCTGAGAAGCTCAGGGCTCTGCCGGACGGGACAGGGAAGACGACACGGAGAGAAGGCTGATCCACTGCTCATTCCCCAGGAACCCGGAGCTCCTCCTCCTCCCTTCCCCCTGCTTTCAGTTAAACAAATTCTGAGCAGGCTTACTCGAGGGGGAGGGGGTCCGCAGGTGGGGATAACACCCAGCTTGAGGGACAGGGGAGAGCACGCAAAGGCAAACCCACACAAAGGGACAAGAAGTTTGGAAGTGAGGACCAGAACTGGCCTCTTGAGCAGCTCTATGTATAACTTACATTGATGCCAAAGTCATTTCTTGCTTATTCTATGTCATCAGTGAAGAAAAAAGCCACCATGTGAAGAAAAATGTGCACTGCATGATGCTTTTCAAAAATTTATGTTTTTAGCTATCTGTCAATATTTTTGTTTATCAATTTAAATCTCTATTTCTAGATTTAGGAAAATTACAGACTAAGACAACATGAAAATTTTCCTCCTATAAACATCTAAAAATGCTCAACAAAATAAAAAAATATTTTACATGCATAGCTGAACATAAAAGGAAGAAACGGAGGTCCCAAGGTGCCAGAAACAAGCTCTGGAAAACCAAAACAGTACGCAAAGTTGGGGGTAAAGGGGGAGCACATCCTGTTAACCTAGAACCCATTTGGGTCTTATCATCTATTTGGGCTCAGGAGATGAGGTGTCGGGTATGAAAGAGGTAGTGACTCTGAGTTCATTACCTACATAAAGGCACAACCCTCAAATGGCAACACCCTCAGTGAAAGAGAAGATGAGAAAAAAACAAATCCAAAAGCTGCACTGAGGGAGAGGGCAGGAATCTTGGCTTGCCTGAGAATTAAGAAA